GTACTTTACGGAATCGGTCTAGGTGTTCTTTAAATGTGCGTGAGAAAATGATCACATCATCAAGGTAAATGAGGCAGGCATCGAAGGTCAAGCCGCGTAAGGTGGCGTTCATTAACCGTTGAAAAGTGGCAGGAGCATTGGTGAGTCCGAACGGCATACGCGTAAACTGGAATAATCCATCGGGAGTGCTGAAAGCAGTTTTCTCTTTGGAATCTTCGTCCATGGGGACTTGCCAATAGCCTGACTGAAGATCCAAGGTACTGAAAAAATTCGCACCCCAAAGATGATCTAGTGTGTCATCTATCCTTGGGAGAGGATGTGCATCTTTCAGCGTAACTGCATTCAACTTCCGGTAGTCTACACAAAACCGGGTGGAACCATCTGACTTGGCCACTAACACTACAGGGCTAGACCAAGGAGAGTTACTAGGCTCTACCACATCACTATCTAACATGTCTTGGACGTGTTTTCGTACTTCATTTGCCTTGGTGGGGGCTAAACGTCTCGGTGCCTGATTGATGGGACGTGAATTGCCAACATCAATGGTATGGTTCATGGTAGTTGTACACCCGATCTCAGAGTCGTTTTGGGCAATGACATCCGAAAATTCGTTCAAGACACGTGTTAGTTGAGCTAACTGATCAGCGGAAGCTGAACAGTCTGATAAATCAAAGAATTTGGACATGTCAACCGATTGCTGGGTATCAGTGTGCACATTATGGCAAAAATCATGTTCTGGAGGGCGAGTGCCATGGAACAACCTTCCTGTAGCACTAGAATCACTCTCAGCAATTGGTTCATATGAATTTGCAGGGCAAAATTCTGGAGGCCTAGTTCCGTGGAACTGGACCTCCGAGTCAACAATAACATTATTGGGTGGGCACTGTCTCGGAGAGAGGTTTGGGAGGCACTGTCTCTCTCCGGAGGATACAGTATTTGAAGTTGATGGATCAACCGCGCCATCCACAGGATGTCCTGTGGGCGAAATATCGTCCAACTCAGCGAACGAAAAAGTGTCCATTCCATGCCAAGTGGCGATTGGATGATTCTCACGCAATACAACTGGGGAATCTGATGGATTTAGCAAGCGAACAGGAACTTCGCCGGCAACACTCGACCTGACCAAGGTGGAACCAACTAACACAGAACTACATGAGGGGGAGGGCATTCGCTCTACCAATCCAGTAGAGAATGAGCATGCAATTCTGCCAATAGCAATCATTTCGGAACGAGCTGGAATGTGTACATGCTCCTGCAAAATGACATCACTACCTTCGACTGGGGCCTGTGGCTCCACAGTTCTGTGGGGGATGTACGGGACGAGTGGGGTCGAACTCCCACTCCAGGTCATCGTACAATTACTCAAGTTTAAAACTATGCCATACTTCACTAGGACGTCAGCACCCAACAAAAAGTCTTCATGCAAATTAGGGACTATGATAGCTGAAAATTGTAAAGGGGTGCTGGAATGGTCCAACTGCAGGGTAAAGGTCACGGCTCCCGAAAATTCCATGGGGCGGCCCTCTGCAGAATACAGACGTCTTACACCAAATACGTCTTCAGCACTATGGGAGTCCGGATGAACATCAGACTGTTTTAGGACACTCTCTTTCACGAGTGAAACTGCGGCACCCGTATCAACAAGGATACGGCTGACATGAACGGGAGTGGTTGCACTAGCATCTGGATTAGGAAAGTTAAAGGTACCCGAAACGTAAAAACCACTTGAACGGGCAGAAACATTAGGGATGGTCAGGTCGAGGTATTCATCATCAGTACATGTATCTTCTTCGTGGAGAGCATTTACAGCTTGCAACACGGGCGTGGTATCAAGCGCAGAGGTAACGGGCAAAACAGGTGTGTCATCCGCATTTTGATCCATCAACACTTGAATAGCTAAAAAATTAGGGGTGTTGTGATGGATTTCCGGAGGCGCAAAGGGAAGAAGAGGCTCATCCTCTTCTTCAAACTCTTCTAAGAGTGGGATATGCGCCTCCGAGCCGTCATCACAACATTCCGTGCATGCGGAGTAAGGGGCACCCAGCGAAGTGTCTGCTAACATCTCATACCCAACAGTTGAACCCATATCACATTCTCCAGAATGACAATCAGCATCACCCCAAGGCAGAATGGATTCCAACCAACTATCAGCCTTACTTAATTTACTTTTACCACTATCACAAAGAGACACAAAAGTTGTGTCGACAAGAGAGTTGTCATCAGCAGGAACTTCTACATTATCATCGTTAATTCTACCAAAAGAAGAACCCGCCTCGTGACTCAGTTTAAAGGCTGATCACGGAAACGAACATTATGAGAGGGTGGGCCATGAGGTGGGGGACCATATCTATCATCTCTACCGTTACGTGGGGGCTGACGGGAATTGTTACGAGGTCCATAACCACGGGAAGGAGGATGAGACGCTCCTTGGGGGGTCTTACGGGAAGGAGGGTAAAACGCTCCCTGATCCTGGGGACGGGAAGGAGGATAAAACGCTCCTTGTGCCTGGGGACGGGAAGGAGGATAAAACGCTCCTTGTTCCTGGGGACGGGAAGGAGGATAAAACGCTCCTTGTTCCTGGGGACGGGAAGGAGGATAAAACGCTCCTTGTTCCTGGGGACGGGAAGGAGGATAAAACGCTCCTTGTTCATACCCTTGATGAGGAGGGCCGGCATACATACCCTGGTAAGACTCCCGGGGATGCCCATGATAATTATCCTGCTCAGGGTGATGGGGCGGCCCATAGTACGAGCCGTGGTCAAAATTACGGGGAGGAGGGTCACGATTAATTGATGAACGGGGGCCCCGGACAAAGCTCGGGGGTGGGTTGGAGTCATAAGGACGACCAGAAGGGGGATTATCATAAGTACCCTCATGCTTATTCTTACGATTAGTAAATTTTGACTGCCCTTGATGGTCTGGGTGGTCACTATTGCTACTTTTACTGTTAGTGGTGGTGGAGTTAGATATGCGGGTTTCCAATTTCTCTACTGCCAAACAGAGACGGGTCAACGTGTCCGGTTCATCTTTGTCGGCACTGCTTTTAATAGACCCTCGGCGGTCGTCTCGTACAGAGGACACTGCAACTCTGTACTCATCATGTTTAGCAGAGGCATCCGCAAAAGAGTGAGCCTCCAAATAGAGAGCTCGGCGAAGAGCGTCATGCATGGTCCTAGGCTGACTATCACGGACCCTCATGCGGAGTGACTCCCCCAACGCCTGGATAAAAGACTCCATGGCGTAGTCATCTCGTTCCATTTCTCCTGCTCTAGGATAGGCTCTAGCCGTCAAAAGGCGGATGTCATCTGCCAGGGTAGACAGAGACTCCCCATTTTGGCGGCGTCTAGTACGCAGCTGCGCTCTTCGGACATACTGAGCTTCGGCTGGCATGTACCTTTCAATCAAAACTTGGCGAAGAATATGGTAGTCATTCGTCTCGACCAAGGATAAGCTCAATAAAAAGCGCGATGCGCTATCTCGAAGAGAACGTTTTAAAAGGAGCAGCTTGCTATGCGTCTTTTTAGCCATATCACGCCACTCGGCTTCACTAGCCATACCATCACCACCACTAACACCTAAACCTCTAGGACTATCATGAGATCCCTTCCAACTAGAGGTGGGCCTGTACCCTTTCCCTTCCGACTGGAGAACCGGGGTGGGTATGTCCGGCACAGAGTACATGGTATTCAGAAAGGGGTTTGCACCCTGCTGAGCAGAATCAGGGGTTGAAAATAACTCAGGTGGCCCATCTGCAGTGGTCTCCCCTCGGGTAACCGGGGATGGCCGAATTGGTCTAGCCAAAGGAGTACTATTGATCCACCCATTGGCATCGCATGCCATGTCAAAGTCAAAGAGAAACGCCTCAAAGTCTTCATTTTCTTTGCCAAAGAAAGGGCGGGGACTAATCCAAGAACCCTGGGCCGTCATATTTGCAACCGAAAATTTGAGGAACGTTGCACCGGGGGATTGAAAAGGACACGGGGAAAGGTACTACCCCGGAAACACCACGTAAAACAAAGGGTAAGGTACGCTTTAATTTAATTAAGGCAAAGAGGTACTTAGAACAAGAACAGTAGTAAGGCTGATAGTGATAAAATCCGTTTTTTTTTTTTTTTTTTTTTTTTTTTTTGCCAAGGAACGAACACCAATCCCCAAACAAGAGAACGATACGAATTCACCCGCTGAATAAGAAAGAAGCGATATAGACAAACTTAAGCTTGGGTACTTACGCAGGGAAATGGAGCGGTGGGAGATTCATCAGCTGGGCAGCTAGTCGGGCAGTACAGTCGGTAGAGCAGTCGGTATCGCGGTAGAGCAGCTAGCTCAGGGTCGTGGGTTGCCTTTGAGCTAAAAGCTGGGCGCCAATGTTATCAAACGTACACCGTCTATATATGGGTACTGTACTCTACGTTATTACTCTACTTATCACACTCTTTACACGGCAGCACGGAATGAAGATTAGGGTAACAGTTATATTCACTGAACATAAAGAGGACTAAAGCAGAGGACTCGGGGGCAATTATGAGGAGAAAACAACTCGGAGGACTACCAACTGTAAGAGCAACTGGGAGAACGACTAGGAGAATCCACTAGGAGAACTACTCGGAGAATCAACTAGGAGAACTAACTACACTGCGCAAGCGCAGCCTTCTGGTTATATCTAAGTTGTTGAAGTAAAAAGGGGTGCATGCAGTAAGTGGCAATACGCCAATAGGGTGAGCGGGAAAAGGGGGTGCATGCAGTAAGTGGCAATACGCCAATAGGGTGAGCGGGAAAAGGGGGTGCATGCAGTAAGAGAGGCAATAGGGTGAGCGGGAAAAGGGGTGCATGCAGTAGGTGGTAATAGGGTGAGCGAGAAAAGGGGTGCATGCAGTAAGTGGTAATAGGGTGAGCGGGAAAAGGGGTGCATGCAGTAAGTGGTAATAGGGTGAGCGGGAAAAGGGGTGCATGAATGTGCAGGGGAGTGCGTGCGTACGGGAATGTGTACGGGGCTAAAGGACTCATGCAACACGGATACGCTCCGTTTCCATGGCGACAAACACCTCCTGAACACCAGTAGCAGTGTCGCCAACCGGGACGGTGAGAACCGACGTTACGAGTGGTGTCGAGTTTTCGGTCCGTGACGTCATGTACAAGCAATTGGACGGGATGGCAATGGGGTCGCCGCTGGGTCCATCACTAACCAACGTCTTCGTTGGAAATTGCTAGTTGAGAATAGATAAAGTAAAGTGGCCTCGTTTGAATGTTCGATCTGTGGACGACTCCCACAATTGATCTTATTTATTGCCATTTTATTAATACATTATGTATGCTACAAGGTGATCTGCTATAATGTAACATTTTTCATTATGTAACAAATTGAGTAAATTATGCACTCCTCGGGTCTGTCGAGGACCACCTGACGTTTCTTTTTTTGGCCGTCTGAAGCTATCCCACTGAGGATTCAGCTGACAAAATATTGGCGTCATGGAAGGTCGGCAAGGCCTGTTGAAGCATGCCCATTTCGTAGGAATTGGATGAAATTAGTAAATTATGTGAATGCTGACGTCCCCCAGGTCGGTCATCATGTGTATGCCACTAAATCGATAGAGCAATGTGACAAAGTGGTAAACCTCGATTTTCCTAACTCATGGTGATGATAATGTGGTTGGGAAATGTCTTTTGTATTCGATATATTCATTTGTTTATCAGCCGTATTCAACAGCGACTATAGTCGAGGAGCAAGGATGGCCAATAACTCCCATTATTCTCAATTTTTGTTGCTATTGGTCACCTTGGCATTCGTCCCTGCCCCTTCTGTTCGGATAGAACGTTTCTCGACGATAATACTATTATTAATAATGATGAGCTTACTAGGAGGGCGATTGCAGTGAGACGAATTTTGAATAGATTAGCACAATCTCTGAATATTCGTATGATTGATTTTATTTGGATTCGCGAGACCAAACGAGCAGGAGTGCTCAATAACAGGGTAGCGAATGGTTGAGTTGTGCTATGTGACAATGTAGTGTGTGCGTGGAGGGGGGGGGGGGAGCTGCGGAGGCCCAATACAATGTAAGGGGATGGGAGGAGAGAAGGCCAGCGGAGAGTCAAATTCAGAAGAGGGAGGAGAGAATAGCTGAAGTACACGGTTACTGAGCGAATTCAAATAAACCAAACAAACAGCAAAACAAGTACACAGCTCACGAGAATAAAGAGGACTGGAGCACAGAATTGAACTGCTGATGTACACAGCTGACGAGAATAAAGACAGGAGCACAGAAATGAACGGGAGGCAGTCTACGAAGTGGTGGTACCATCGGTGCATGCACCACGGTACATTATCATATTATCGGCGCGGCTTTGCAAAGTTCGTGGGTACTGAATACCATGGTGTGACCAATTGTGTAGCAGTCTACAACGTGTAGGGAATGGCAGCTCGGCGGAATGCTGGGATGTTGCCCATGGCTCGCACCGTGTCAGGTATATGGTTCCATAACAGGCAACCGCGAGATGTCGGTCGGCATTGGCCTGCTCGGCTTCTGGCTATTGGTTGTTGCAGGCCCAGACTGCGCTGAAGGCCAGTTGCTCCGCAGTTGCTGACAAACAGTGCCTGCAGAGCAGGACTGGCACGGTTATGAACGCACCGCCATACCAGCACGAGCAGTTTCTGGCGATATACCTCGTCCACGCGATAAACAGAGAGCCTCTCCAAGAGGTCACTGGCCCTGGTAAATCGTGGTCGTCCGAACACCGCCCTTGCTGCGCGGTTTTGGGCCACCTGCAAGCGGTTTAGCTGGTTGTGGGTCAAGCCAGAGCCATAGGCGGACGATCCATATATCAAATCCGGCATGATGACAGATAGGAAGTACTTTCTTCGACTAGCTAGAGTGAGGCAACGTCGCGCCCGCCACAGACTACCAATCTTCCTAGCAGTGCGTGAGATGCACCGGTCAACTTGCGGTTGCCAGGCCATTCGTTCATCGATCAAGATGCCGAGGTATTTCGCGCTGGTGGTGTGCGGAAGGACATCATTTCGACAGCGTACAACCACGTCCGGCTGCTGCCCACTGCTGCTGGTAAAAACCAATACATTGCTCTTCTTTGCATTTAGTACAAGACCACGAGCATCCAGCCAACTTGAGAGGGAGGTAACCGCCAAGCTGAGCGCATCAGACACCTCTTGCGCTGTCCGTCTTGCACATGTCAGGGCGATGTCGTCCGCAAACTGCAGTGATGATGCCGGCGCAGATTCAGAGGGGACATCTCTAGTGTATATGGAGAACAGCATGGGTCCTAGTACAGAGCCCTGCGGCACACCACAAGTGCACGGTACAGTTCTGCCCAGTCGGGAGCCCATACGAACGCGTTGATGGCGCCCAGACAAATAGTCGCGAAACCATTTCAGGGCTGTGCCGGAGATACCGATGCTGAACAAGTCCTGGATGAGGGTGGCATGCTTCACCTTGTCGAAGGCTTTACTCATATCTAACAGGCATGTTGCTACAACAGAACCATTGTCTCTTGCTTGGAGGACGGTGTCCGAGAGCAGTGCCAGTGCATCTTCGGTCGAGTGTCCAGGGCGGAATGCAAACTGGGTGTTAGGCAGAGCTGGGTCGACGAAGTCAACCAGGGCTTTCTGCACCAGCTTTTCGAGTAGCTTAGAGATCACGGGTAACAGCGACACAGGGCGGTAGTTTGTGGGTACGGATGGGTCTCCGGCCTTGAACAGGGGTGTGAGGTGTGCTAGCTTGAAACCTCTTGGCACTTCCCCGCTGGACAGGGACGCATTAAACAGTGTGACCAGTGAAGGGGCAAGAATATCAGCGCTATGTTTCAGTACAAAACCGGGTATGTCGTCACTTCCTGTGGCCTTGGTCGTGTTGATTGATCGTAGTAACCGCTCAACTTCCCTGACAGTAACCAGCGGAAAGGAGATGAGACATTGCTGTGGGGGTGGTCCGCTTGGTATCTGGAGACTTTGCGGCCGGCTGGTGTCCGTGATAACCTTGTGGAACGCGGTGGTTACTGCATCCATAGGGCATGCGGGCTCCTGGTGTTGACGGCTTCGTCCTGTGACCTGATTGATAACCGACCACATTTGACGAGGATTAGAGTTATTCTCACTGCACTGGGTGCGGAAGTACTCATTGCGGTTTCTGCGGTACGCATTTGAGCATGCAGATCTGGCTCGCTTGAAGTCCTGATGTGCCGCCCAGTCCCCTTTGTTCGCGAGCCATTTCTTGTGGAGTCGGATTTTCCGCTGATTTAGCTGGAACAAGTCTCTATCCGACCAGGGCGGGTTTGATGGCCGTTTCCCCTGACTTGTAAGAATCTGCGGAGCATGCCTGTCCAGCAGGTCCATGAACCCTCCATGCCACTGGTGCCACATTTGGTGCACGTCGGATCCAGGTGCAAATGTATACAAGTTGGCTGCAATGAGGTCACGCCGAAAAGACTCGAAGTCCAGGCAAACAACGTCCTCTCCTCAGGCTCAGCATGATGGCGCGACCACAGCTGAATCCACTGGCTCGGCCCTACTTCCCCCCTTGCCAGGGTAAACTGACCTTGCTTTCCGTAAATTGCCGCTCAATCGTTAACAAATCTGCCGAACTGTCTGTCATTGCTGATTTCAACAAACCTGATGTCATCTGTCTAAATGAAACATGGCTAAATCCAAGCATAGCGCTCACCATCTCCGGTTATACCACATTTCGTCGCGACCGACCACCTCATGATAACAAATCCGGTACGGCAACCAGAGGATATGGTGGAGTTGCGATTCTTGTCCGGCAAAATCGCTTCGGAAGAGTCCAAGTTCGCGACGACCTTGCTCGTCCGACCTGTGAATCCGTATGGGTTGAGCTTCACCCAATCTTAGGCTCCCCGACACCCATCCTCGTCTGCTGTACCTACCGTCCGCCCTCAGTCAAAACCACGGAAATAGACCACTTCTGTGATATGCTAGCTAGTGCTTTGGTAACCGTTCCCATGTCATCGTACCATGTCATAATGGCTGGGGACTTCAACAGTAAGCACAAACGGTGGTGCCCATCGGATTTAACGTGTCCTGCTGGGGCGGCACTTTTTCGCACCCTTACCTGCTTCGGTTTGGATCAGCTGGTGCAGAGTCCAACGCACACAACATCTTCCGGAACACAGTCATGTCTAGACCTTGTCTTCACGAACCAACCCCTGCTGGCGACGGACGTTCACACAGCTTGCGCTCTTGGCTCCTCGGACCATCTCATGGTTTCATGCCAGTTCGCCGTCTCATTGCCCTCGGATCCAGACCTGCCACTTCCTTCTCGCAAACCGTTCCCATATCGCTTCCGTCGAGTTCCCTCTCAGTGCTGGGACTCTATGAACGCTGATTTCTCCTGCCACGACTGGTCGTTTCTGCAACCAGAAGGCTCTCCAACTGTTGACGCCGCGGTAGATCACTTTGCAGCCGTCCTTGAACGAGGGTTCCAACAGCACCTCTCTAACTTTGCTATCGGCTACAACAACCGGAAACATTCCAACCCAACATCCTCGACATCTAGTCCCCCATGGGTGACACGGTCCCTCGTATCTGAAGTGAAGCGCAAGCGTGATCTTTTCAGCATCTACAAGAAATTCCCAACGCCGGTTAACCGGGAGGCTTACCGAGTTCAACGCAACTTCGTCAAGCACCTTTCTCGTACCTCACACCGCTCCTTTCTAAACTCTCTTTCTGCAACACTCTCCTCCCCCGATCGCCCATCACTCCACCAATTCATTCGCAACCAGTGCCGCGGGACCTCCCGCGCGCCAATCCAGTACCTGACGGACTCCAATGGCAACCGCCAGCACGATGTGAAGGCGATTGCAGACACACTGAACAAGCAGTTTGTTTCATCCGGCATTCCGGAAGATCCGAATTGGGTCATTCCATCGCTGTCCCCAGCCCCTGAACTTAGCGCACCACTCACACGCGTCGTTACCACGACTGCTACCGTCTGTAAGCACCTCAAACTCCTGAAGAATTGTAAGTCCCCTGGCGAAGATGGCATACCCAATGAGGTTCTCAAATGGCTTGCGCCATCTCTGTCCTATCCCTTGTGCCTGCTCTTTAACATGTCATATCGTACAGGAGTATTTCCGTCCGTCTGGAAATCTGCTGTTATCGTCCCGATCTATAAGAAAGGCCAACGCTCTCAGGCTGGCAACTACAGACCAATCTCTCTCCTTCCCGCTGTGTCCAAGGTCTGTGAACGTATTTTCTTTGAGTCTCTGTACTGCCACGTCACCCCAGCGCTTTCACCATCTCAATCCGGTTTCTGCCGTGGAGACTCCACAACTTTCCAACTAACACGTCTAGTACAAGACATCTACACCCAGCGGAACCTCAGGCGGCATGTTGGCATCGTGTTCTTTGACCTAGCGAAAGCTTTCGACACCGTCTGGCATCGTGGTCTGCTTGCAAAGCTAGAGTCCGTCTTCTTGGTACACGGTCCAGCCCTGCAATGGCTCTCATCCTATCTTTCCTGCCGCCACCAGACTGTCAGAGTATCTACCTCCCTATCAGACCCATTACTAGTCGTGTCTGGGGTACCCCAGGGGTCCATACTTGGGCCGCTCCTATTTCTACTGTACGTTAATGACTTGCCAGCCCTTGTACCAAATGTAAGTCTTTTTGCTGACGACACTGCTCTGATGTGCTCCGACAGCTCGGCAGACAACCTCACGGCCTCCATGCAGTCCGGGGTCAACGCTACAGTAACATGGATGGAAACCTGGAAACTGAAGCCTAACCTCGCCAAAACCGAGGCCATGTTCTTCTCTCCCTCGCCCCCCACTCAACTTCTGTATTTTCCTGGTCTAAATAGTACACCTATTAAAGTTGTTAACGAGCACAAGCACCTGGGCGTTATTCTCGACCGCCAACTCTCCTGGTCTCCACAAGTCCAGTCTGTGTGCAAGCGTGCGAGTGCGTCCTTAGGTATGCTACAACCCCACTGCCAACACTTGAATGATAACTGCAGAGAATTGTTCTTTAAGTCGTACATTTTGCCTATATTTGACTATTGCGATATAGCTTGGTGCGGGTTGTCTCAGACTTTACTCCACAGACTGGAGGTACATCAACGCTTGCTTCTGAAAATTCTGTTTCGAAAAGACCAAACATTTGCCTCCCTTTGTCTTTATAAACTTGCTTCCACGCACCCTCTTCTTGCCCGACATCAGCAGCATCTTTGTATCCTTGTGCAAAAAATCTTCCTAGCCCAAGTCCCGAAACATATTGCCAAGTACAACTGGTTTGTTACCACTAGCCCAACACGCAATGCCTTATCACTGCCCCGCGCTAGTTCCTCTCTGTTTTTGAAATCCCCTTTCTTCTCAGCATACTCCCTTTGGTCTAACCTGCCTACTAGCATTAAGACATGCCAGGATATCAGGAAATTCACAGTCCAGCTTTCCACACTGTCTCATCCGAAGTGATCCCATGTATTATTAATGTGCCTCCCTTTCTTTTTCTCTCCCTATCTCCTTTCCCTCTCTGACAGCATCTTTCTTTTTTTTCCCTTTTAGCTTGCCGTGGTTGGCTATCACCTGACCTCTCATGTTTATTGGCAGTCTTCGGACGGGCCAGGAGATGTTGAATAAATAAATAAATAAATAAATAAATCCGGTGTAGATGGCGAGTGATGCGAGGTGCACGACTAGTAGTTTGCGCAGTGAGGAGATGGAGATGCGCTCTCACCAGGAAATGGTCGCTGATGTCACAGGGAATAACACTGCAAGCGGAGACGTTGGTGGGATCTGAAAGAACAAGGTCGATCACAGTTCCATGGGGATGCTCTGGTGTGACACGTGTTGGGGAGATAACGTGATTTTTCAGGCCATATACGTCGCAGAGATCAAGCAAGTGGCGCACCTGATGACTACCTTGGCATACATTAGCGTTGAAGTCACCGAGTAGGGTCATCGACGGTGTCACTTGGGATGCCCGCTCAAGCTCTTGCTCTATCCGAGTCCAGTAGGCGACTGGCTCATTTGGCGGTCGATAGACGCATGCAACTAGGTGAGGTCCGGACTTGCTCTTGACTTCAAGCCATATGATTTCAACGTTTTCTTTGCTTAGGTCAGGACGCGGTCTTGCGGGAAGTGTGGAGCGGTAGTAGATGGCTACGCCACCACCCTGTCTACCACGATCACGTCGTGCAATTGAGTATCCTGGGATACACAGTTCTCCATCTCCGATTTTCTGATCCAGCCATGTCTCGGCAACACCAAGTATGTCCAAGCTCTGGCTTGCCAGGACAGCTTTGACATCGTGCACCTTGTACCGCAAGCTACAGACATTTAGGAATGCAATATTGAGGGCGGATGTCTTGCTAGGCATCGGCTGGTTAGCTGAGGTAGGACGGGGCTTAAATGGTAATGCATGAGGATTTAGGGGGAGAGCCATAGAAAGGGTTATAAAGTTGAGACGAATACTGGGATGACTAGCAGCTCAATCTGCGGTCGCGGATCATGTTGTTTACTGCAGCTGGTGACTGGGGATGCCGCATAGAGGTGAGGATCCGAGGAGCAAAGGTATGCTTTCCTGATGCCCGGACGAACCCTTCCTCGTCTGGAGACGCATGCGCTGCTTTGCCCCGGGATGTCAGTCGAAAAGCTGGGGTGACAGGTGTTGCCTGCGCCTGCTTGAGTGACACCTGGGGTACTGGAATCCTGGACCTCAATTCAGGTTTCCGCTGCTGTAGCACTGGCTGCTGCGCTGAAGGTGACAGCTGCTCTTGGGCTGGTATAGTGACCTGGCTAACCACATGCTGATTTGCAGCTGCGGTTGCAGCCCAGGTCAACTGCTGGTCGCTGTTCTGCACGCTGTTTTGTACGGTGGCAGCTGCGGTCGCAGCCAGGGTCGACTGCTGGTCGCCGTTCTGCACGGTGCTGGCGTACGTACGGTGTTGGCCAGGCAGCGATGTATGCTTGGGACAGTCACGTGCCAGGTGCTCACCACCACAGCGGTAACATGTCTGGGTTTGACCCCAGTGGTACACCCTGTACTCATTTTCACCGATTCGTAGCTTGCAGGGAACTGTCTTTTTGAGCACCATCAAAACCCGCCGAGCTCCGGTGAGTATTTTGACCTCAGCATTAGAAATAGTTTCTGGCTCAATTTTCCCAGTCACTTCCCCGAATACTCCAAGTGCTGAGGCTATATGGCCTTCGTGCAAGTGCGGTTCACAACCATACACGTATACTCTACATGCAGTTCTTGGTCCGTCTCCCCGGCATGATTCCCGGCATGATTCCCGGCATGATTCCCGGCATGACACTTACTTGCTCGCCGTTCAAGTTCAGTCCGGCAGCTACAAGACCATCACGAGCGTCGAAATTTCGAAAAGTGAGGACACAAGAGTAGTTAGTGCGGGGCAGGTTCTGGTGCACTTTTTGACCTTTGACCTTTGGGCCAAATAAGGCACACTGTGTCGGTCGTGCTTGGTCTGGCCCCGGGACTCCCCCAGGGTTTGACCTTTGACCTTTAGGTTAAATAAGGCACACTGTGTCGGGCGCGCTTGGTCTGGCCCCGGGACTCCCCCAGGGTTTGACCTTTGGCCCTGCCATGCCATAAATGTCATCATGTTCTTTTCCGTGGCGTTTATTGCACCAGGGAGTAGTAAAATACGTACTACTCCCTGATTTGCACATCGTAGATGTGCAGTGAATGACATATTGCGCATGCGCGCATAAGTACGCGGAGCGTGCGACCTTTAGTGGTTTTGCGGAAAAGACGCAGTGCAACACAAGGTGTACTAGTACACGTGCCACTATACTAATGTGTGATAGCCGACCTCATATACGATGTACGGGGAGATTTTTCCTCAGTATGTTGTAGGCAGTGCTGGAGGTGACGTGACGATGGCGGAGCCAAGTGCAAAACTATCCAGGCAGCCCAGACAGCCCACCTCGAGTGCCGTGCGTGGTTTTTTGAAAAAGTTTTCTTTGCGAGGTTCAGGCACTGATCCTCTCGTCTTTTTCAGCAGCCATCATGACGAGCTCCGACAGGTTCTGCTCGAGGAGCTTCAGTCTCACCCTTTCAAGGTGGTTTTAGTTTTGAGGGTGGAGATGACACGAGAGTCGGCCACGGGTAGTACGTCTGCCGTCCCGTTTTTTAGAAGTAGACCGGCTCGGATCCTCAGCGAAGGGGACATTGATGGTGCAGTCAAGACGATGGTGGCGAGGATCACTGGTCTTATTGATAAGTGGATGCAGAACGGATCCAACTGGACCGTTTCTCGAGTGAGACAGCTGGATGTGTCGACAGCAAAGTACACTCCTCTTCGAGGTGAGTTTCTGTTCATCCGGCAATGTTTGTTCGAAGCCTGTCGAATTTCTTGTGGAAAGTTGTAGATGTATGTTTTGTACCAGATGTACAGTTTTTCGTGATTGTCGCGAGGGTGTAGTTGTGATGTGGTGTTACTCTGAGCAAAGCCTTCGGTGTATTTTTGTGGTGTTCTGTAGGTGGTGCAGCTGCTATCCCGCCGAAATTAGAAAAAAAGAAGGCCATCATTAACGTAAAGAACAACGATGACAGGTGTTTGATGTTGGCGTTGTTGTCAGCGCTGCACCCCGTCGAACAGAATGCTGAGCGCGCATCCAAGTACACCCAGTATCTTGAGGAGCTGCGGTTCGACGGTGTAATGTTCCCTGCAACGCTCCGTGATGTATCCAAAGTGGAGATACAGAATGGTCTTGCAATCAATGTGTTTGGGTACGAGGGGAATCTGTACCCACTCTATCTCAGCGAGCGACAGGAGACTCCCATCAACCTCCTTCTTCATGACAACCACTTCACATGGATAAAAAACTTCAGTCGTGCATGCGAGAATAAGAACAGACATGCCACACACTATTGCTTCCGATGCCTCTCCGCACACAAAACAGCAGACTCCCTGCAGCATCACAGCGAGAGATGTCAGGTGATGAAGCCTGTGCCAGTAGTCATGCCCACAGCAAAGGACAGCATCCTCAAATATACAAATTTGAAGCACAGGATGGTGGCTCCATATATCATTTACGCTGATACGGAGGCCATCATTGAGCCGATGGAGGAACAGCATGGCAGCAGCACTGTACGCACAGCCCGTCATGTACCATGCAGCATCAGGTATGTTTTGTTGTTGGTGTTGTTTTTGACTAATGTTTGCTGTACTCATGCCTGCACAGTGCTTCCTGTTATTCCTTCTTGTCTTGTTCTCCCCTAATTGTGTTCGTGTTGTAGTATGTGCATTTTGTGTGATTCCATTTTTTCAAAAAAATCACTCATTCTTACTTTCCTTCTTCTTTTATGCTCTTGTAGATATGCTGCCATCCGATCCAACGGTGAAGTCCGTGGCGAGTTTGACGACTGCAGTGAGAATGCCATTCACAACTTTTTCGACAGTCTCAAAGAGTTGGAAGGCAGTATCCAGGAGGATTTGGCTGATATCAAGCCAATTCACATGACGGCAGAACTGGAGCTTGAGTTTCAGAACGCAGTCAACTGCTGGATATGTGATGAAGTACTTGGAGAAGATCGTGTTCGTGATCATGATCATCTCACTGGTAAGTATTAGAATTTTTTGTTTATTTTTGTTGTTTTGCAGTTGTGTGTAGATATGCGCATGATGTGTATAGTGCATTTTCATGTCTTTGTAGCTGTTTGCATCTGTGTTTTATCATGGTGTATTGAATTGTATTGTCTGTGGTATCACCTTCACTGTAGATGTTTACTATGTTTGTGTATTCCCCTCTTTCTGAATATCTGCACAGGCAACTACCGTGGTGCTGCACACTACCAGTGTAATATTCAGCTAAGTATCTACCCAGATCGCCAGATCATTCCGGTTGTGTTTCACAACCTGAAAGGGTACGATGCTCACCACCTCATCGCCCACATTGGTATGACCGAGGTTGAAGAGGTGGAGTACGAGGACTCTAACCAGCGTAAGCGGATTAAGAAGGTTGGTGAGATCAGTGTCATCGCCAACAACATGGAGAAATATATTTCATTCAAGTGGCGTCAGTACCGCTTCATCGACTCCATGGCCTTCTTGAACTCCTCTCTTGACTCGTTGGTGAGCAACACCCCGGAAGATGCGCTCAAGCTTACTCGTACATTGGCCCATCATGACCTTCTCCTGCGTAAGGGTGTCTACCCCTACGAGTACATGGACTCCTTTGCTCGGTTTGATGAGACACAGCTGCCACCTAAATCAGCATTTGAGTCTAGTTTGACTGGAGAAGGTATCAGTGATGCCGACTATGCCCATGCTCAGAACGTATGGCAGGTAAGCAGCTTGTGCCTTCTGTATTGTGCTCTACTTATGACTTTGAATGCTTTTGTGATGTGCTCTACTCATTTTTTTTGTACTCATTGCTCTCTATCTGTGGATGCTTGTGTGCATGTGTGTATGGATGCTTGCGTGTGTGTGTGTGTGTGCGTTGTTTTTTTGTTTTTCGTTTTGCAGACATTTGAGTGCAGTACAATGGAGGCCTATCATGACCTCTATTTGCAAACAGATGTCTATCTTCTAGCAGATGTCTTTGAGCATTTCCGCAAGACGGCATACAAGACGTATGGGTTGGATCCAGCCCATTACCTTACTCTCCCAGGTATGTTCATCAGTCTTTGTTGTTGTCCAATGTATTCTCTCCTTTAGACGGTGTTCTCTGTTAGTATTCTTGTGCTTTCTTGTCGGTGTATTTATACACTTTTTGCATGGTGTATTGACTTTCGTGTTTGTGTTCTGGTGTGTTGTATGGTGTTATGTAGGATATGCATGGGATGCTCTACTACGGTTCACCCAGATTGAACTGCAGCTGCTCACGGATGTAGACATGCATCTGTTTGTCGAAGCCGGTCTACGTGGGGGCATCTCAATGGCGTCGCAGCGGTACGGCAAGGCCAACAACCCAACGATGGATCAGTACAATTCTGCTGAGCCCACATCATACCTGCTATACCTTGACGCCAACAACCTGTATGGCTGGGCTATGTGCCAGAGTATGCCGCCATCCGAGTTTGCCTGGTGTGACAAGAACCTGTCCGAGATACTGGCACACCCTGTAGATTCGAGCACTGGGTTCATTGTGGAGTGTGATCTTGAGGTACCCTCTTCGCTGCACCACTACTTCAATGATTATCCACTCGCACCGGAAGTGATGAGAACATTCTCAGATAAGCTATCACCATACCAACAAGCACTTGTGGAGGAGCTCAAAGTGTCAGCCGTAGATGGAGTCAAGTTGACACCCAGTCTCCTACCCAAGTCCAAATATGTGTTACACTACCGTACACTGCAGCTGTATTCGCGTCTGGGCATGGTGGTGACCGCTGTTCACAAGGTGTTGGGATTTCAGCAGAGTGCCTGGATGGCTCCCTACATCAATCTGAACACTGCACTTCGCACGAGGGCTACAACCGACTTTGAGAAGAGCTTTTACAAGGTAAATGCAACCGTTGTGTGCAGTCTTGTATGTTGTTGTTGGTTGTTGTTGTTGTTGTTGTTGTTGTTGTTTTTGTTGTTGTTTTTGTCGCATGTATGGTGCAAGTGTGACGTGGAGTATGCTAATTGAAAAATACGCTGATGTGAAGGAATGGCATGATATGATTCTCATGTGCCATGTTTGCCTGTTTGTGTGCTGCAGCTGATGAACAACTCAGTCTTTGGCAAGACGATGGAGAACGTTCGTAATCGAATACGCATCGATCTCTTGCGAGAAGAAAGTGAGGAGCAGGTACTGAGGGCAGTGAGCAAGCCTACATATGTGCGGCACGACATTTTCCCGAACGGGCTTGTCGGAATAGAAAAGCAGCACACTGAGATCAAGCTCAACAAGCCGGTCTATGTGGGTATGTCGATACTAGACCTGTCAAAGGTGCACATGTACTCCTTCTACTACGATGTGCTGAAGGAGCAGTACGGTAGCAGAATCCGGCTGTTGTACACCGACACCGACTCTGTTATTGTGCACATAACCACCGGTGATGTTTATGCAGAGATGGATCTGTCTCTGTATGACACCAGCAACTTTCCCACTGACCATCCTCAGTACACTTCTGTCAATAAGA